GCAATTTCTTCAGAGAAAGAATTTGTGCCCTCAATTTTCACAAGAGATCCCGGCCTAGTAGTGGATAGGGGCATTTATTCTTTCAGTGGCCCAATTGTTTGCAATATGTGCATTGGTCTTTTCCTAGGGGTTGATGCTGAGGGTCTTCACTGACTGGTCCCCGGCTTGGAGAGGAGTGTGGAGTGGCTAGGGCAGCGATAGTGACCTTTCCTAGGCATTTTGCAATGACCTCTTCTGGGGAGTTACGATTGTCGTAGACCTTTTGAGCAATCCCCAGGAGCTCTGACGTATTCTTGCCCTGAAATCCCTCAAGTTTTTGAAGCTTCTTTCTGATATCTGGGGCCGACTGAGAGACAAAAGTTAAGTTAATGGTGGCTGCATTTTCTGGTGCCTCAGGATCAGTCAGAGTATAAGTCCAATAAGCTTCTAAGAGGCATTCGAGAAAAGCCGTGGGGGACTCTTGTTTAGCTTGAATAACTTTACTGACCTTGGTCAAATTAGTGGGCTTCCTTGCTGCTGCCTGGAGTCCCCCCAGGAGAAACTGGTGATAGGTGTCAAGGGCTCCCCTACCTTGATCCGTTGCAGGGTCCCAGTCTGGTCTCTGGGTTGGGAGCAGGCGGCAGAGCCTGCCGTCGTTGCCAGCATCATGGGAGTCGACCCCTGGTCCAAGGGCCACTTTGCGGGATTCCTGAAGGATGCAGTCACACTCCTCTGAAGTGAACAGAGTCTGGAGCAACTGCTGACAATTGTCCCAGGTGGGGAGATGAGTCCGAAAGATGGACTCCAAAAGGGAAATAAGTGCCTGTGGCTTCTCAGAGAAAGCGGGATTCTGATGTTTCCAATTGTAGAGATTAGTAGTGGTGAAGGGAACATAAACAAAGCCTCCTCCCGGCTGCATCTGCCAGAGGGGAAGGATAGCAGAAGGACTGGTGGAGTCAGCCGGATGAGGGTCGGAGGAGGGAGTGTAGGAGAGAACAAGAAGTTAACTATTTAGGGGGATGTTTTAATAATTTCCTTCCATACATTAATATATGGAAATTGGTCGGGGTGTCCGGGCTGGCCCAGAACAATATCCCATACCACTCAGGTGATGTTGGAGTTAAAAGTTTCCGAGGATGGCCAATACGTTGAAACAAGGCCAGTCAACTTTACAGAGAGTTTGGAGGTGGGCCTGCTTAAAATGGACTCTGTAATCGGCCTCCTTTGAGACTATAATTTCATCTGGACAGAAATGCTTTCCAGTAAAAGATTCATCAGCCTTTTCCCCTATTATGAATAAACCCACCAAAATTGATGTACTACTGTCAAATTTTCAATATACCTCATTGTTTCTTATCAAACCCATTATTTGCAGGTATTGTAAACCAAGGCAAATAAAGTTCACTTCCCCTAAGCCTTCTACAACTTACTACACACTCTCAAGTTTAGCTTTTATTATCTCCTTTCATGTTCTGGCACAACCAGACTGTTTTACTTTAAAACAAAACTACTTTCTTCCCACCCCCCCGTTTTTTTTTTACTATTACCAGTCAACTACCTTCCCTCTTCCCTCTTGCTTTTGAGACAACACTAAAACTTTCAACGAAATTTTTAAGGTTGTTTTCTTTCAGTAGTCCAGAGTATATTGAGTCATTTCATGTGTGTTTATCACCCTGAAATGCTATACTTAAAAAATGGCAATTTTCTTAATTGGAACAGTCAACATTTACTTGAATTGATCACCATTATAAATCCACCGTGACACAGGGCTTTTATTCCTCCCTCCTTTTCCTTACTGTAGACATCTCGGAAATGTCCCAGAATACATTGAAGGGGGGTGGCTGGTCGATATTGAGAAGCCCCCATTGAGAAAAGACTGGGAACAGACAACCCAGTGACAGATGACAAAATTAGTAACACAACAGACAAAAAGACACGAAAGCAGAGTCTCCTCCAAGAGACAAACTAGGGCCAAAAGTCCCTGTGTTCTGGCCTCCTTTGAGGAGAACCAAACCAGGGGGAGATTCTCTGCCATCACAGGAATTCCCCGGACTCAAGGGTATATGCTGCATCCGGCCCCTTAAAGTCCTCCCAGGTTGCGACTACAGACCAGACAGAAACCATAGAGGTTCCTTACCTTCGAAGGGTTTCAGAATAAAATCTCCGGAACAACCAGGATGGCTGGATTGCGCTTTACGTCCCTCTGCTACGTCAACTCACTCACCAGGGCCCTGAAAATCGGGGTGGCCACCCCTGGTGGGGAGCCAATTGTGGCTGATGGATGATGCACAGGCTGTCCTTTAGATCTCGCTGCGGCTTCCAAATGTTGGGTCCAGACAAGCAATAAAGAGGCTGGATGTCAAATTAAGGTTTCAAAGATTTTATTAAGCTGAGCTCAGCGACCATCTCTCCGACTAAGGAAAATGGCCCCAAGACTCGGGGGGGGTAATGTTTTTATAAGATAGGACTATATGCAAAGCAAATTACAGAAGCCAAAAAGAATGTGCAGTTATTTTAGTTAAAACCGCATCCTGCTGTTGAAACAATGCTATTATGTCCAGATGTCCAGATGCCTTAACAGTACATCGTGACCGGGTTGAGTTGACTGCAGAAACTATTTCTCAGAAATATGTATGTAATTAAATTTAGAAACTAAGGACGGGGGTTGAGAAACCAAGGTTAGTTGCTGCAAGGCCTTCTGAGAGGCAGGGGAGTAAGGGGGAACTGCTGCAAGGCCTCCTGAGAGGTGGGGGAGTAAGGGGGAATCCTAACGGGAAGTTCTACTTAGAGTTTAGCTGAAGTATCTGAAGTATGATTTTTTAAAAGTGAGTCTGTCTGGCCTAGGGTCCGGGCCGGGGTCCTTTCATAAACTATATCTCAATAAAAATGGGGGGGGGGAGGTTAACCCTGCAGAATAACAGGGAAGAATGGTCTTTTCAATTAATGATACCAGAATAGTTGGCTAGTCATATGACAAAAAAGGAAAAAGAACTGACCCTTATCTCCTATCAAGTCCCAGGATTCAGAACCAAAAATTAAAGGCACAACAATAAAGCTTTCAAAGCTTCCAGGGGATAATGTAGGAGAATATCTCCATGGAGTTACTATAAAGAAAAACTTAAGTAGCTCACACCCATAAAAACATTAACCATAAAGGAAAAGTTTGATAATTCTGACCACATTAAAATTAAAAACCTTCATGCATTAAAAAACACTGTTTTGGAGAATGAAAAGGCAAGCCACAAAGGAACTGGTATCCAAAATAGACAGAGGCCTCTTACAAATTGATGAGGGTAAACAATCCAGTAGAAAAACTGACAATGAGTTTTACAAAAGATGATATTCAAGTGGCCAGTGAACACATGGAACGATGCTCACCCACAACAGTAATCAAGGAATGCAAATTAAACCACAACGAGAATACCACTACACACCCACCAGACAGGCTAAATTACACAAAGTGATGATAACAAATGTTGGTGGTGAGGATGTGGAGCAACAGGAACCCTCATTCGCTACTGGACGGAGTTTAACACAGCATAACTGCTTTGGGAAACAGTCTGACTTTACTTACTGAAGTTAAAGAAATGCTTACTCTATGACCCAGTAATTCCAGTTCTAAGTCTATACCCACAGAACTGCATGCACATACCAAAGGTCATGTACAAGAATATTTACAGCAGCATTATTCACAATAACCCAAACTGGAAACAACTAAAATGTCTGTCAACTGTAGGGTAGATAAAAAACTGTTATACACACAACTGGAATGATCAAAATGCTGTCAAACTCATCAACGTGGATGAATCTTACATAGTTGATTAAAATAAGTCATACCAAAAAGAAAAAAAAAGAATCTCTCTCTCTCTATATATATATGTCTATATCTATCTATCTATCTATATCTATCTCTATCTATCTATCGATAGATAGAGATAGATATAGATAGATATAGGTATAGATATCCATTTACATCAAACTTAAAACCAGGCAAAACTGAACTATACTGTTTGTGGATACATGCCTAGGATGTAAACTATAAAGAAAAACAAGTACACTATGAAACTCTGTCGCGTCCCACGCAGCAAAGGTGTTGGGGAGTGAGAGGGGCAGCATAGGGTTAAAGGAACACAAGAGTCAAGGATAGAGTTAAAGCTGGGCCAGGGGGCTGCAGTATCTCTCTTGAACTGAGCCCTGAATCAGGCCAACGTGTGGCTTTTATTAAAAAACTTCAAAGAAGTGAAACATTTTTTTTAAAGTCCGTGTGATAAGTGCCTTATGGCTAATTCCCATCAACCAGCCCCACTGTATTCCAACACCTGCTGTGCCTTTATACTCCTACACACATAACCCCCAGGATGGTGCAGCTGTGCCCCGGCCTTGAAAATAAGGGAGATAACTGACATAATTTCATCAGGTCTCAGCATTCCAAGACACTTCCTCATGACCTCATTAGGTCAGGGGTGTGAGGGGGCGGTCGAGGATGAAGCTGTAAGACAACAAAAGTCAAGATAGTGGTTGCTTATTTTGGGTCAGGGGGAACACTGAACTCATTCTAGGAGGCATGAAGGGGATTTCTGAAGTGCTGGCACTGATTTCACTGCTGTACTGTTTCTTCCGACGTCGGTTACATAAGCATTCCACTTTGTGATAATTCACTGAGCAGTGCATTTTGTTTGGGGCCCTCATCTATATGTGTGTTATATTTGAAATAATTGTAAAAGTTAACCTAGAGTACTTTTTATGTTTGACTTAAACAACAACAACAAAAGAAAAAAAAACACCTACCCTTCAGAATAACACAGAATAAGCCCATGGTTCACTACTGCAAATAAGATACAACTTTGGATTCACGTAAACTGTAGAATTTTTCTCACTTTAATGATGAGAAAAAATAGGATAGCATAATGTATTAATAATTATATATTAGTATTAATCAACACCACCACCACTTTTAAAGGTCACTTGTTTTCATGTGTCAGTCCTCCATCTTTTCCATAGGTATTATTAGCCCATCTCACCTCTTCAATATGTAGGTCCTGGAGCTGTGATAAGGAGCAGGACAGGATTCCAATAAGGAATGGAGTAGGTGAGCAACACACAATGTTGATCATTGATGCCAGCAGGACTGGGAAGTAGGTGTGTGCTGCCAGTAAATGGATATAGCATGGCAACCACAGCATGGCCGCATTTTGACTGGGTGCTAGCCAGAGGAAAAAGCAAATGATGTCACATACAGAGCAACACATGGAGGGCATTTCAGATGTTATGTTAACAGAATTACAAAGTGACACCAGTTAGTGATCACAGATGGACAATTCTGTGATTACCCATTATTTTTTTTAACATTTTATTTAACTTTCTCACTTAATTTACTGAAAAATCACCTACCTTAATCCAGCTCTTTCCCACTAATTATATTGCTAAAAATTAGTGTGTACTAAAAACAGCAGCACCAATTTTTAACAAGTCTAATAAAAACACACTTAAAAAGGTAAATTAATTGCAACCCCAAAAAGTCACTGTTATAGCCTAAATAAGAATAGCTTTTGAATTATTTACTATTTAGAATAACCCATGTCACCATAGCATGAGGTAATGGAGATCCTACAGTTTTTTTAACATGCCCCAATTTTAAAATAGTCAGAACACATAAAACATCAGTATGAAGTGACGTATATCTTTCATATACTATTTCTCTTACCTTACTATTACTATTACCTTAGGCTGTTGTCCACAAAGATCACCTTCATTCCAAAAGGAGATAGGCACAGACCTGGATGAGATGACACACACTCAGGCACTTAAAGAGGCATTCAAAGTCAACATGTTCCAGTTGGGAATCCAGTGGTTGGCACAGTTCAATGGACTGAAATGCAAGAATGTGAATAGGGGAGCTGAAGTCGGAAAACAGTCACTAATGACAACACTAAAAGATCCTGTCATTCCTTTACAGGTCTAATTCAAGAAAACGGGTCTGCTACAAAAAGTTTGTGAAACTGTGTACACTAATCCCAAGATCTAACACCTTGTTTTTGTGCTATAAATCTTTCTCACCTGACGATAGTATGTATAATCTTCATTTATCACACTGAAATTGTGATTACAAAGGGTCACAGTCTATGAATGGTAGAAAACCTCTGGTTCCTGGGTCTAAAATCAAAGATCTCACAGATCAGCTGGATTTTCCTCCAGTGCTTTGTGGGACTAAGACATATTCTGCTCAGTTTATGGGAAAAGGAAAACTATGCCCCAAGGTTTCTGGAAACACTATAAGGTCTGCTTTTTGGCAGCTATCAAACCCTTTCAAAAGGAGCTAACTTACCTCATCTCCAGCCCCAGGGAGGTAGCTCTTAACTGTGATGGTGTGCCCAGGAGCTGGGAAAGGGGCTTCCATGATGCTTTGCATGAATGGGTAAACCAGGACCAGAGACATCTCTCTTCTCTACTTCATCCAGAATCTACACATACAGAATGTGTTATTTTATTAGGGACTCAGTTCAAAAACAGAAAAGAATCCTATTAAAGGAACTGCCAAACTTAGAGCACAAACTTGAAAATAACACCAACAGATTTTAAGACAGATAGGCATCTACAACCCATAAAAGTTCATTACAGCCATCACTTATCTTGGGGGTACCTTTACATTCCCCCAAAATGTTACTAAAATAAATCAACTTACTTTTAAAAGAGGAGCTCCTTTTTATTTCACTAAGGTAGGGGAAGAAAGAAGGTGACACTGACAATGATATCCTGCGGTTTGGGGTCAGGGAAAGACATGAGACAAGATAAGCTTCAGGCTAGGTTCCCCTTACGCTGGGAGGTTTAGCAAACCAAAATGAGGATGACATGGCAGCAGCACCTGGATTAGAGAGCTAAGTTTAAGCCTTCAAACCTGTGGCTCTAATCTACTAGAGGGGGACCCTTTCTAAAATAGTATGTTAACATCTGTGCCACTTACCATTGCCTAGTGAAGTCATCAGAAACAAAAACTTACTCAGAGCTCAGAGAGAATACCACTTTTCATAGGACCCATTTGCAACTCACCTTTGAAAACAGGTTGAAGCAGCCTCGGCAACTAACCATGGGCAGTATACATCAGGCAGTCACTTCCCTTTGCCTTCTGGCTAAAAGGAAAACACAACAAAGCAAAAATTAAGTAACGCAAGTCTTTACTGATTTGGACTATTGATACTCTCTTAATACTCTTTAGTACAGAGTAGGAAACAAGACTTTCATCCTCATTGAACACTAAAACATAGTAAAATATTTAAAAATGATAGCATGAATTATTCCAGGTTTAGGAAAGGCGTTTAAGCAAGAAGACTGTAACTCAGAGCTCCCTTGATTGGCTTATTGTACCACATTCCTCAAACATACCCAGACTGACATTTAGCCACTATGTCAGTGATTTCCTTGTCTATTACAAATAAATAAATAAATAAATAAATAAATAAATAAATAAATAAATAAATAAATAAAAAAAATCCATACCCTTTTTATTCTTGAACACTCGTTGGCCAATTATAACCTTGCTCTTACTGTTTAAAGCTGGCATAGCTTCTTTAACACAGATCAGTGAGTAGCCCTCAAACTCATCTAGAGGTAGTGCTTCTGAAGTTCCTAGTCTGATGACTATTGTTCCTTGACCAAGCCTGCCTGCAGCACACATCTGGTACTCACCAAAAGCTTCTTACAGTAACCATACCACCATCTTCACCAGTCAAAACAAAGGAGAACGTTCTACTGAAAAAGACATGCAATTGTTGAGGTCCAAACAACTGCTTCTGACATGCCCCATGAAACACACAATTGAAAACTGGAGTCCCACAATGGTCACTTTGTGACTTAAGAGGAGGCGTTTATATCACATTGATCTCCTGAGGGAGAAAATCCAGTACTTGAGAACATCCTGCTTTGTACTGGAGTGAGAGAATAGGTACAGGATGAGTTTTTGATGCTGTTGCCTCCTTTTACTTTCTTATTTATCTCGTCTAGCTATTCATCAGGCATATTTTCCTTTCATTGAATGTCCAATGTAGTCAAACACATAGGTAAGCTATAAAGGATCTTGATTAGCTATTTTTCCCTTCCAAATTCTTCTATTTAGTTCTGAGAAGTCATATGGAGCAGTGATAGGCAAAGGACAATATCCTTTATATATAAAAATTAATAGGAAAATTATCAACTCCTCATTAGAAACATAGACCAAAGGTATAAATACATACTTTATATATATAAAAGACCTACAGATGCCCAAGAAGGAAATTCATTAATAATGAAAGATATCTATATTTAAACAATGAAAACATGTCTATATATAGCCAAAAGTAAAGATTGGAAAGAAACATGCCAAAATATTTACAGTGATTATCTCTGAGTTGCCAGAATGCCAGTGACTTCTAATTTCTCCTTTTTATTTACTTCTCTGTATTTTCCAAATATTCTAGAATAAACACACATCACTTGTTAGGGTGGAGGTGGGGTGAAGCCAACCATGGAGCAGCCAGACCAATATGAAAGGAGCTGCCTAGATGGAAGTGGCCATGTGGAATTGACCAGAGATTGGCTGTGAGCTTCTGAGAGTGATGCCTGGGCAACAGCCAGCAAGGAAACAAGGACCTTCATCCTAAAACCACAAGAAACTGAATTCTGCCAGTAAGTGGAATGAGCCTAGAAGCAGATTCTTCCCGAGTCTCTGGAGAAGAGCCAGGCCCAGTCAACACCTTGATTTCAGTCTATGGAAACTAAGCAGGCAGCACAAACTTCTGACCTAAAGAACTGCAAATGTAACCTCACGTGTGTGTGTGTGTGTGTGTGTGTGTGTGTGTGTGTGTGTGTAAACTGCAAAAAGGAAGAAAGAAATAAAGAAAGAAGCTGCCTCTGTAGTTAGCAGTGCAACTGACAGCACAAGAGCATGGCATGGCTGGCTCAGAGATGAGAGCAGCAATCAGGCTAAACTGGTTATGAGAGACAGCAGCCTAGTCTGGAGGCAACATGAGGTGGAAGAGTAGGGCGATGTGGGCAACAACCGAGGCTGTCTTCCAGCAGGCCACTGGCATGTGATATGGTTCGCATAATCATGCTTTTCAGCTTAAATGGCATGATCGATAATTATAGTTCTGAACCAAGCGGTTGTCTACTGACAAGCAATATTCAGAAATGATGATGGTTTATTCATTGAATATGGTGTTTTCCTCTAGCTACCAGGAAGAACTTCTTTACATCTTCCCTCTCCGTATACAACACATCCCGACTGAAGCCTCCCTTTGTAAAAGTTAGGCAGAACATACAATCTGGGCTGTGGCCCTTTCTACCGACTTGAAGAGAAACAATATGTGGGCATTGTTCTGTTTTATCTGTTTCTGAGTCTCCAAGGTCAAGTCTTTTTTCTTTTTCTGTCCATTTGGTGGCATTTCTGATTGTATGTGCAGTGCCACTTTTTTTTTCCTGCAGAATTGGCAAACCAAAGAGACTCAAACTTGTTATCCCTTTGCCATTAGAGCTATTCTGTTTTCTTTTCTGAGTCCCACGTAGGAAATGTTCTAATTCTGTTTCTTTCTTTCCTCCCACTGCATCCTTGACCTGCCCCAGAGCCCACAGAGCTTCACCGCTGGCTCTGCCTATTTCTCAAACATTTGGAGTCTGCTTTGCAGTTCTAACAAATAGAAATCAGATAAAGTAGACTATTTACCTCTTGAGTTTTGAGGTTGGCACCCAGTCCTCTGAATCAGGAAAACAAAATTTGGGGATCACTTTGAGCTTCTCTTCAGTGTTTTTTGGATTGCTTAAAGCCATGATCACCCTGAAAAAGATAACAACATAAGTGACTAATAGTCTACATAAATGTGCTCCTGGGAAAAGAGGTCTCTGATAAGCCTAAGTAGTCATCTCAGCAGAGTTTTGTGCTGTTTAACAAAACAGGAAAGCCAAGACTGGTAATCACTGAAGGTACACTGAGAACAGAATTACTAAGAATAATGAATCCTATTTTTACATAGAAATGGTATTGTGGAAATCCTATAATCTGATGTAAGAGAGATGACTGCATATGGAACACAAAATAATTAAAAATCTGTTCTATAATATACCGAGAGCAAAAACCTAGTCAGTTCAAGACACTCTTTAATAAACAATCAAAGATATTTTGAAAAGGCAGATCAATATTATTAAAAAGATACTATTTTTAGAATCCATCTCATATATAATCATTTCCCTTAGCACATAATCTTTGCTACCTAACTACTGGTTTGCGACTTTCTATAAAATTTTATCATGGAAGACCCTTTTGTGCAAGTCTGATATTGTACTTTAAAGGACAGTGTTAATTTAGTTAAACCAAAAGACCTTTAAAAATTAGTAAAAAACCCCCCAAAAAATCCAAGCAGATAATAAGTTTAATTATAATATTGCCTTCATATAACAAATACAAATGACCTATCTTTTAATTTGCAAAACAAAACATTCAGCCATTCTGGGTCACTTGGATACGAAGCTTTTAAGAAATGGAAAAGCATTTCCAAAATTTTAATTGTCACATTTTATTGTTTTTATATTGTTAAATGATTCACAATCATCTTCATTCAAGGTTTTCCGCATTAGGATCACGAGGGGCTCGGCCAGCTCTTTCCCTCCCTCACTTACATGTGCCCAATGCACAAAGATGCTGAGTATAATAACTTCCTTAGAGACAGCCCTATATCTTGCCAGATTGTCTGGATCCTTATCTGGTTCTCAGCCCATTAATTCAGGCTGCATTCAAAACAGGTTCAAACTTAAGGTTTCTCCTTGCAAATATAATACTGATCAAAACGAGAGGAAAACAATTAAGCTCCTTTTCATGGAAAATTTGATTCCTCGAGACTATCTAGATTACATTATTTTTTACTCTTCTAGTACTGTGTTACTAAACTTGGGGCTGTGACACTGCTCTCAGGCTACACTGATGATTTTCATAATAAATTGAACTTACTGATTTATTTACAGTAAAGATATTGTTGAGGATTCCTTCTAAAAAATGAGAACCCATGCAGGAAATATCTCTTAGATTCCAGTACTGTTGAGCATCACTAGCTTTTTTAGTGAAAGATACAATCAGGGTTATAAACCCAAAGTCCTAAAGGGGCTGAGCAGATCATCTCAATGATAGAAGTGGTCCAAGTAATTAGCTGGAGAGTGGGCACATGTCCCTATTTAAAGGGATCACTCCTCACCAGGAACAGCTACATAATCTGCAGAGCACAGTGCAAGATACAACTGTGGGCCCCTTGTTCAAAAAGCAGGAAAAATTGAATATAAAATAAAATATAAAACTTTTTATTTTCTTCTCTTATCTCTCTTTCAACATGTAATGAGGTTTATATTTGTTATTTAACATCAGGCCCCCTCAGGCACAAGGATCCTGGGGGACAACTACAGACCCTAACAGGCACCCAGGGGTCCTAGCCCACAATTTAGTACACAAGCAGCCCACCAGCTGCTGGGTTTCCCATCTGGCCAGCCACAGTACTGAAACCCTGTCCTGACTGGGTGTGGGGAAGTGGAGCCTGGCATCTCTCCTCATAGGCCCACTGCTCCAACCCATGGCAGCTGGGCAACTCCCAAGGGGTTGTAGCCTCCACATGGGGACGTGCTTGGTACTTGGATTGGGGGTGGTGGAAAGTCTTGCCCCATCAAGCCACCCACTGAACATGAGTGGCACTGCCAGCCCAGGACAGGGAGGGTCTCACTGTGCATTCCTTAGAGATGCTATGGAGCAATGCTTGCCTGATCCATCCCTCTCCATGCCTATGCCCAAGCCCCTGCAGGGACAGAAGGTGGTAGTGGTCACTGAATGAGAATAGGAAGGGGGAATCTAGACAGGTCCCAGGAAACCAGAAGGCAGGGAGAGGACAATTAGAGAACCCAGCCTGGGAAGGTGGCAGTAGGTGAAGCCATGTAGGAACTGAGACTTTAAGACCTAGGCACATGTCCCTTTGTCCCATCAGACCTCACTTACAGAACACAAATTCAAAGACAAAATGATTAAGAATTTCAGTGGTGACTACAAAGCATTAAACCCCAGTGTAGGGCCCTTCTAAGGGAGGGGCCTAGTGCAGCTGCACTGGTCACAGGCCCATGAAGTTGGCCCTGGCTTCCTCAGCTTCAGCTAAATTCCTGCCACTTAGGGATACAGGCTGAGTGTTGGTGGTCTCTCCAGTTTCTCAGGAAAAAGCTGAAATATAGATTTTTATGTGAAATTTGATTTTTAAAGATTAGCAACAAATAATTTGTTATTATTTTTACAAAAACACTATAAATAAAAAAAATAAAACATGTTGGTGGGCTCCATTTGCTCAGAGGCCACCAGTTTGCAAGCCTTGATGTAATTATCATGGTTCTCTTTTTGTATTTGCTCCTACAAAGCTCAGAGCCACATTTGGGGGTCTATGCTGTAAGCTCTGTGAGGGCAGAGACCAAGAAGATCATTTTCATTTGTATTCCTAGCACCTGATCTCAGCAAATAGTAGGTATTTAAGAAATATTTGATTATGAATGAATGATGAATGAATACATCATTTTTGGAAAATGGCAGAGCAAACCAAATACTATTGTTAATAATAGCTACCATTTATCAAGTGCTTACAATGTGCCAGGAACTGCACTTTGTATATATTACCTCATTAAATCTCCGCTAACACTGGATAACATTATATAGTGCTCACTATATGCTAGATACTGTTCTCAGGGCCTTATACAACTCATTTATTACCTTCATTTTACAAATGAAGGAACCAAGGAACAGAGAAGTTAAGTAACTGCTCAAAGTCACAGAGCTAATAAGTGACAAATGCAGACAGTTGGCATAGAGCCCATGCTCTAAACCGCTACCCTACTCTGCCACATTTATTATTCCCTTCATTAAGGATGAGAAAATTAAGGCTTTGTAACTTGCTAAAGGTCACTTGTACAGCAGAGCAAAAAATAAAAAACAAGCTTGGCTAATGAGCTTTCTGCCCCCCTCGGTTGCAGCTCATGCCTGACATGTCATCAGAGTCACTTACCGGGTCCTACCAGAAGGACTTTATGAGTAAAAGCTGACTGCGATAACAATAAACATGAAGAGAGGACTTAGATACACACAGAGACACAGGAATCTTCCCAGATGGCTCCTGGCCTCCCTGCACCTGCCTTGCTAGGGAATTGCTATATGACCTGGAGAATGTAGCTTATTTCTGATGGTTTCTTCTGTAGCAACACTATCACAAAAAGTTCAAACAGCTGTCGCTCCTGTAATTCAACTGAGATCCCGCTCTAAGGTCTGGTAGTTAGGATTCCTCTTGGAAGACTGCTGAAGTTGTGCTAAGTGCTTGTAGCGATCTATAATGGAATCATGGTGCCTTGTTTTTCCTTTGTAGCCCTGCCTTCCTTCTAGCACCCAGAGGTCAGCATGACCCATACAGGGCTGACCTTAACTCAGTCGTTGATGAATGAATGCTGACTAACCAATGTCTGCCACACAGACATACCTGTTAGGGTTATGACATACTTGGGGGACAAGTGCAAATTCTCCCAAGCACCTTGGGGGCCCTGTGGTGGGACTGACATTCCGTGATTCAACCTATACTCTAGGTATGTCCCTGCACATACTCCACACTATCCCATCTTTAATGGCATAACACTGGGACTCACAGAAAGTGTCAGGTAAATGCACTGGCCTAACAACAGATACCATTGTTGGGACCATGAAATCAGGGGGCAGGAAGAGATCTGATAAAAGAACTGAGTCCTATAAAGTGTGAGTGCATAAAGGGACATGTCTGATAAAATTAAAACAAAAACTATCCTCACATTATAAAAAAAACCTGTCCTTTTCCCTTCTTTCCTGGGCACGTATTACAAGTCACAGACATATGCTTATATCAATAAATGGTGCATTTAGCAAGAGGAAAAAGTTGAAGTAGAAGACATCTACTAGCAGACTATTTCTCAAAAGAATGAAATTATGGAAGCATACTATTGAAACAGTGCATACAAGCAATACCACTCAAACTGGATGGCATTTCTCCTGTATTCTCGTTTCTCTCTCATTCTGAACAATTTGGGGTCGTCTCCACTGGGGGAAGTGTAGTACTTACAGAAGAAATAGTCTAAGTGTCATTCTGAGCCAACAACTGAAAGCTTCATCCTCTAATTGTTTTGCTTTTCTTTTGAAATATGATGCATTCCTCCCCTGAAGAAGTTACAGTGTGGATCAAAAATACATCTAGGAGTGGCTCCCCAGAATTAGCTGGAACATTTAGTGCACCAGGCAAAGCTTCCCTTACCACAAAGGGCTCAGTGCAAGTCAAGAAAATTTTAGGTTCTACTTCTGAGAAGCAACGGCACTAAATTAGTCATCTCTGCACATCCAGGCTGAACCTGATGCTGACTTAAAGTTTCACCTTCAGTCAGGCTACAGAATCAAAGACCTGAAGCAATTCAGGCCTGTGGAGAGAGTGCCTGGCTGTTAATCATAAGATCGGAAGATCAGATTTGGAACTGCCCTGCGCTCAGCTTTGATAATTCATGTCTCCTACTTTTTCCGTGCCTCGGTATGCCAGGAACTAAACAGGAACTAAACAACTTGCAGTGAAAATCCATTCGGTGAAGGATACGGAGCACCATGAAGTGCTTGAACAAGTGCAGCCCAAAATGCATGGCTTATGCTATATTCTAACAGAAAGTAAATGGCGCAACAATTTGGAGTATAAATGCCCATGAATAAGAAAAGAGATCAACGTTTCCTGTTTCAATGTCAGCTATAAAAATTACTTGAATAATTACACTTGAGTGACTATGAAAAATCAGATGTTGAATGCTAAGTATTTGTCTTGGAGGGTGATTCACACATATCCTGTTTGGGCTGCTGAGAAATGACTGCCTGTATGTCTAAACATGCAGCTATGCAGCCCCCCTAGGAACATTCCATCTCAAGGGCCATGCTGCTTTGCCTCACTCCACCAAGGGAGACTTCAAAGGCTGTCAAACATCTGCCAGGGTACTGTGTCATTCCTCAGATCTCAACAGGTTCTAATAATGAAGATATCACCCACAAAAATGAAACTTCTTGTGGGGAAAACATGCTTAATCACAAAGGTAGGTGCCACTCCACCTATAACCAAGAGCATCTCGAGAAAAGGAGCAGCCCCACTGACTCACTCACTCTTTGGCAGATACTCGGCATCACTTTCGTTCCCTGGTTTCACCTGAAAAGAGAGGTTTCCATTTGTATTGTCCAACAATAGGAAGCACAGGAGGATGAAAGCAAAGTAAAACCTCACAGACCTGGGGACTTGGAGGAAGGAATATAAAAGATGCTGGGCCTTTCTCCAAACCACTTAGGTCTACCAGGGTAGAATGGTCACCAAAGAGATGTAAAAGCTCAGAGAAGAACCTATTCTATTCCATCTTCTTCCCATACTATCTCCCTCTTCAGCTCCCCTCTCACCTCTGATTCTAGAAATGAACAGCAGTTCACACTAGTTTTAAGTCTAGTTCAGAGTGGACTCTATTTCTACATTCATATGCTTGTCTTTAAATTCCCAAAGAGGGTATCAAAGGTAGAATACCAATCTGATTAAACAAAAATCTCAACATGGCACACAATATGAATTTAGAATAATAGGGAAATGTGGGGCTAAGAGAGATTACCAAATACATTTATGAAGTAACATTTTTTTGTGATACCTCTGAATTACCTGTAGGCCAAACTGAACCCTCCTTTACTCTGAGTTCTTATAGTACTCAGATTGCTTTGAACTGTTTTATTTTCCCCAAACAGATTTTAAGTATCTTGAGGATAAAGGGCTATACCTTTACAAAGGAGTGTTTTGAACCACAAAGCTAAGGTACATGAATTTACAAAAAACCCCTAAAACTTTGTGAACAAGTGAATGAAAAATTCCTAGATTAAGTCTGAAAAGTTAAAGCAAAATTTAAAAAATGTAAAGAAAAGGAATAATTTTAAATGTGTCAGGAAAGACAAGGCCTAGGAGTCATCAATGAAAAATGTGTACAAGTTTGATTATATAAAAATATAAAATTTCCACTTAATAAAAAATCATGAGTAAATTCAAAAGGTGAACAATAAACTGGAACAATATTTGTAATACACACTGCAGACACAAGGCTGAGTTTGTTAATATTCAAATAGCTGTTACAAATGAATAAGAAAAAATACAGCACAACAGACAAGATATTTTCAACCATGACATTGGCAAAATATAAAAAGCTATAATAAAACACAATGATAGTAAAGATTATGAGGAAAAAGTCATTTTCAAATGTTGCTTATAGAAACAAAGTGTTACAATCTGTGGGACAACTTTGCAACAGCTATAAAAATTTTAAATGCTTATGTTCTTTAAGTCCACTACTAGAAACTTGTTTTACAAATGTATTCTTATCAATGCACAAAAAATAAGCAAATAGATGTATATTGCAGCACTGTTTGAAGAGCAAATAATGTGCATATACATAGAACTTAAATATCCAGAGGTTAAATAAAAAGTTAGAAACAACGAAGATAAATGCCTACCAGCTAAATAAAATTCTTTTACATCTCTATGAAGAAATACAATACAGCTGTGCGGACCTTTATGTGTTGATACTGAAAGAGCTTACATTATATCTATATCTATATCCATATCTATATCTATATCTATATCTATATAATCTCTATCATCTATATCTATATCATCTATATCTATATCTATATCTATCTATATCTATCTATCTATCTCTCTATATAAAGCAAAACATACAAAGTCTCAATGGTATAAAACTATTTGGGAAGAAAAATATATTTGCATGTGCATAACATTTTCTGGGAGCAGTAGGAGGAGGTCTGGGGAACTTTGGCTTTTCATTTTATCTTATTCTATATTATTCTAATTTCTTGCTGTCCTCATTTTCATTTTACAATAATGAGAACATTAAAAAAGACTGCCTCTTCATAAGATAGGTGGAAAGGTACATAAGAGATGTTTACAGAAAAAGTAGCTATTTATAATAAATATTGTGTGCTACATATATTTTATAACTTCAAATTAACCACCATGAAAAAAGTCTACTAAAGCTATAAAATATTGTTCAGTATGAAGGAACAAATACTGTGAGCTCTTGAGTCCTATTTATATTCTTAGCACTAGGCACCTCTTAGGAACCTATGTAGTGTGTGGAAAGAAAGAAAGACAAGAAAGGGAAAGAGGGAGGAAAGGTACTATAAGTGAAAAAGACTTTATAAATATCATTTAAGTGGTTTTAATATATTCACACCTATGGGTTTTGATGCCATGCATTCTGAAACACTGAATGAATGTCGAGGGGTTTATAAGCCAACAGGAACATCTACTGAGATTCTGCAGGGATATAAAAGTAATGTTGTTCTTTTCTTTTTTCAGTAATTTATTTTTATTGTGAAATAAACATTTTAAAAAATTAGTTTCAGCTGTACAACACAGTAAAATAGTTATAATTTTTGCCCCTCAAAGTGACAACCCCCTCCCCCAATCCACTGCCCCACTGCCCCCCATATCAAACATATCTATTACAATTCCCTTTACTCCACTCCCACACTATACTCCACATCCTGTATATATATATATATATATATATATATATATATATATATATATATCCAATTATAGCTGACATACAATATTATACAACATCAGCTTCAGGTGTACAGTGCAGTGATTAGCCTCTACACCATCCACGAAGTGGTCTCCCTAACAAGACATGTGACCATCTGACATTCTACAAAATATTTACATTATTAATTATATTCCCTGAACCATCTTTCATATCCTTGTGGCATTGTTGTAGTTACATATTTTTGCTGTGTAATCCCTTTCCCTTCTCCTTCATCCCCACGCCCCTCCCAACTAGCAAGCATCAGTTTTTCCTCTATATCTCTGAGACTATTTCTATTTACTTTGCTCGTTCATTCAGTTTTTTAGATTCTACATGTAAGTGAGATCATATGGTATTTGTCTTTCTCTGACTGACTTATTTCACTTAACGTAATAGTCTCTAGGTCCATGCATATCATTGCAAATGGTACGATTCATTCTTCTTTATAGCAGAGTAATACTCCATTGTATAAATGTACCACAGTTTCTTAATCCAGTTGTCTACCAATGGGCATTTCGGTTGTTTCCAAGTCTTGGCTATTGTAAATAGCACTGCAATATACATAGGGATATATATTTTTTTGAATTGCGTCTTGGGTTTCTCTGGCAGATACTCAAGAGTGGAATTGCTGGGTTGTACAGTAGTTCCATTTTCAGTTTTTTGAGATTGCTCCATACTGATTTCTGTAATGGTGGCACCAATCTGTAGTCCCACCAACAGTGCACCAGGGTTTCCTTTTCTCCACAACCTCGCCAGCACTTGTTTGTTGATTTATTAATGATAGCCATTCTGACTGGAGTGAGGTGGTATCTCATTGTGGTTTTCATTTGTATTTCTCTAATGATTACTGAGGTTGAACATTTTTTCATATGCTTATTGGCCATCTGTATTTCTTCTTTAGAGAAATGCTTCTTCCTATCCTCTGCCCATTTTTTAATTGGGTTGTTTGGTTTTTTGGTGTTGAGTTGAATGAGTGTTTTATAAATTTTGGATATTAGCCCCTTATCAGATATATCGTTGGCAAATATCTTCTCCCATTCAGTAGGCTGCCTGTTTGTTTAATTGATAATTTCCTTTACTGTGAAAAAATTTTTAGGTTTGATGTTTTAGGTTTGAAATAAGCGCCATATGTTTATTTTTTTCTTTTATTTCCCTTGTTTGAGGGGATATATCAGTAAAAATATTACTGAGAGTAATGTCTGCGAATTTACTCCCAATGTCTTCTTCTAGGAGTTCTATGGTTTCAGGTCTTACATTTAAGTGTTTAATCCATTTTGAATTTGTTCTCATATATGGTGTATGTAGGTGGTCCATTTTCATTTTTTTGCACGTGTCAGTCCAATTTTCCCAGCACCATTTATTAAATAGACTATCTTTACTCCAATGTAAAGTCTTGCTTCCATTGTCATAGATTAAATGATTGTATATGGATGGGTTTATTTCCGGGCTCCCAATTCTGTTCCATTGGTCTATGTGTCTGTTTTTATGCTAGTACCATACTATTTTGATTACCGTAGCCTTGTAGAATGATTGAATGTCAAGTAATGTGACACCTCCCACTTTGTTCTTTTTTCTCAAGATTGCGTGGCTATTTCGGGTCTTTAATGGTTCCATATAAAATTTCGGATTATATGTTCTATTTCTGAGAAAAATGTTAATTTGATAGGAATTGCATTGAATCTATATATTGCCTTAGGTAGTATTGATATTTTAACTATATTAATCCTCCCTATTCATGAACATGGTATGTATTTCCATTTATTTGTATCTTCTTTCATTTCTCTCTTCAGTGTCTTACAATTTTCTGAGTACAGGTCTTTTACTTCTTTTGTTAAATTTATTCCAATATATTTTATTGTTTTTGAAGCAATTGTAAAAGGGATTGATTTCCTGATTTCTTTTTCTGATAGCTTATTATTGGGGTATATAAATGCAATTGATTTATGAATATTAATTTTGTATCCTGCTACCTTACTAAATTCATTAATTAGTTCTAACAGTTTTTTGGTGGAGTCTTTGGGATTCTCTATATATAGTATCATGTCATGTGCATACAATGACAATTTTACTCCCTCGTTTCCAATTTGGATGCCTTTTATTTCTTTTTCTTGTCTGATTGCTGTGGCTAGAACTTCCAGAACTATGT